GTGACGTCACTACCACGTGACGCCCCCGTCGAGAAAAGCGCGGGAAACCGCAGCCGGCAGCGCCAAGTACGGGCGCAGGCCGGTGCGGTGAGCGGTGGCTGGCCGGCGTGAGCGGTGACTGGTCGGTGTGAGCGGTGACTGGTCGGCGTGAGCGTGGGCCGACCGGTGGAGCGGCTGCGGGCCGACCGGTGGAGCGGCTGCGGGCCGACCGGTGGAGCGGCTGCGGGCCGACCGGTGGAGCGGCTGCGGGCCGACCGGTGGAGCGGCTGCGGGCCGACGGTGGAGCGGCTGCGGGCCGACCGGTGGAGCGGCTGCGGGCCGACCGGTGGAGCGGCTGCGGGCCGACCGGTGGAGCGGCTGCGGGCCGACCGGTGGAGCGGCTGCGGGCCGACCGGTGGAGCGGCTGCGGGCCGACCGGTGGAGCGGCTGCGGGCCGACGGTGGAGCGGCGGCGAGCCGACCGGCGGAACGACGTGCTGGTGAGAGCGCGGCGGCACGATGGATCCAACGGGGATGCAGATAGTGTCTGCGGTGCCGTACCGTCCAGGCACGGACTTTGAAAAGTGGCTCCGGGCATTGGAGCGGTATATGATCGCTGTTGACATTCAAGGGCCTGCGAGACGGTGTGCAGTCCTGCTGCACCTGGTGGGTCCGGACCTCGCCGATGTCAGCGATTCACTGCCTGAGGAGGACGCCGAGAGACAGGGAGAAGACGAGTTTGCTCGCCTGAAAAGGAAGCTAACACGGTATCTGGTGCCGAAGAATAATGTGGTGGCGGAGAGAGGAAAGTTTCAAGGGATGACAATGGAGCAGGAAGAGAGCCTGGAGGAGTTCCTGGGCAGACTACGGACGCAAATCCTGCGCTGCGGCTACGAGCCGGCGCAGGTGGACCGAGAGTTGAGAGACCGATGCGTCCTGGGCAGCCGAGGTGATCTGCAGAGGAAACTGGTCCGGGAGGCGGCGCTAAAGGGTGACGACCTCTCTCTGGAGGACGTCCGGCGGACGGCACGGGCGCACAGGGACGTGATGGATCTGACGACGCGGCTGTCTGGGGCGCCGGCGCCGACCGAGACGGACGGGGAGGCAGTTCACCTGGTGCGACGCCCGCAGCGGACGGAGAGGGTCAGGCCGACCGAGCCCCCGGGGCCAGGCACGTGCTTCCGCTGTGGCGGCCGGGGCCACTGGCGGCGCCACTGTCCCAGCGCGCAGTCGCGGCAGGCCGGCGCGCGGCCCCGGCAGGACGGTGCGCAGCCGCGGCAGGACAGCGGGCAGTCGCGGCAGGCCGGCGCGCCGCGCTGCTATCGGTGCGGAGAGCGCGGACACCTGCAACGGGACTGCAGCAAACGACGGGCTGTCAAGTTGATCCAGGACAGCGACCAGGCCGACTGGCAGGTCTGCGCCGTGCATCTGGCGGCAGGAGCGGCGCAGAAGAGCGGATTCTTCCGACAGCCCGGCTCAGCAAACGGCGGTCGGCTGGACAGCCGACGCGGCGGACCGCGCCGGAGGGGCGGAACGCGCCGGTGCTTCAGGTGCGGCGACTCAGGGTACTTGAAGCGTGACTGCCCCGGATGCGGTCAGGTGACGTCTGTGGACGCCGTGACGTCCGTGGCGCAGCGGAGGACACAGCGTCAGGACCGGCTGCCACTGGTCACGGTGACAGTCAACGGCCGGCCAACAGAGATGATGGCAGACACCGGGTCGCCAGTCTCGATCGTGGCGGACGGCAGCATCCCGGGGCTGAAGCTGCGACCATCAACGGTGCAGCTGCGCTCGTTTACGGGCCAGACGGTGCCGGTCCGCGGCGAGGCGACCGTAGAGGCGGAGTTCGGCGGCCAGCGGAGGCGGCTGAATGTAGTAGTCAGCGACCGACTCGGACACCAACCGCTGATCGGACGGGACTGGTTGCGCGACATGCGCCTCGACTGGCGGTCGCTGCTTCAGGGCAGCGAGGACCGTGAAGTGAGCGGCGCCGACGAAGTCAGAGGGCGCCGTGACACTAAAGGAGCCGGTGGGCGCCGGGATGCTGATGCTGCAGGAGCCAGCGGGCGCCAGGACGCCGATGGAGCCGGCGGACGCCGGGACGCCGATGGAGCCGGCGGGCGCCGGGATGCCGATGGAGCCGGTGGGCGCCGGGGCGCCGGCGGAGAGAGCGGACACCGGTACGCCGGCGGGAGCAGCGGGCGCCGGGACGTCGGCGGAGGCGGCGGCGACGGGCGGCCCGTCGGAGACGCTCGTGCCAGAAGCTTCGGTGGCGGAGACGGGATCGGCAGCGTCAGAGCGGCGACCGTCGGCGACGTCCGACGAGCAGGGTTCAGCGACGGGTACACCGGCGGCGGCGCCAAACGGCCCGTCGGCGATGATCGCGCTGATGGCCGCGGTGACGGCGGCCGCGCCGGCAGTGCCAGTGACCTCATCGGAGGGTGCACCAGTGGCGTTGACCTCAGTGGAGGTCGCGTCGGTGCCGGTGACAGCGGAGGTGACCTCAGTGGTGCACTCGGTGACGGCGGCGGCGGCGACGTCAGCCACGCCGATAACCTCGGTGACGGTCAGGCCGGTGACCCCAGCGGGGGCGACGGTCAGGCGAGTGACCTGGGAGGAGCCGGCTGCGCCGGTGGCCTCAGTGGTGCCCTGGGTGACCGCGGTGGCGGCGGCGCTAGCGACGCCGGTGACCCCGGCGGTGGCGGCGGCGGCTGACCCAGGGAACAGCGCCGGCGGTGACGTCAGAGCGACGACCGGCGGTGACGTCAGAGCGACGACCAGTTGTGACGTCAGAGCGACGACCGGCGGTGACGTCAGAGCGACGACCGGCGGTGACGTCAGAGCGACGACCGGCGGTGACCGGGCTGGTGGCGCCGGCGGCAGCGCCGGGCGCCCTGTCGGAGACGATCGCGCCAATGGCCTCGGTGACGGCAGCCGCGCCGGCGTCGCCGGTCAGGCCTGTGACCGGGGAGCAGTCGGCCTCGGCCGTGCCGGTGATCTCGGCGGCGGCGGTGATGCCGGTGACCCCGGCGGCGACGGCCGTGCCGGTGACCCCGGCGGCGGCGGTAGTGCCGGTGACCTCAGCGGCGGCGGTGATGCCGTCAGCGGCGGCGGTAGTGCCGGTGACCTCGGCGGCGGCGGTGATACCGGTGACCTCAGCGGCTACAGTCACACCGGCGGTGGCGGTGATGTCGGTGACGGCGGCGGCAGGGGCGGCGGGGACACTGTGGGCCCCTCGCAACGCCGTTCCGCTCGGCGCCGGAGGTGCCCGAGGCGACTGATCGCCGAGGTTTAAAATGTGTTTGTTTCCACGTTCCGACGCGTAATGTGTTTGTTTCCACGTTCCGGTTTAAAATGTGTTCCGTTTTAAGGGCGGCAGGTTAAAGTGAATGCGTTCCGTTTTAAGGGCGGCAGGTTAAAGTGAATGTGTGTTCCGTTTTAAGGGCGGCAGGGTGTGGTGTCGCGAGCTGCTCCCCCCTGCCCGGGGGCCTGGCGACGCCACTTGCTCCCCCCTGCCCGGGGGCCTGGCGACGCCACTGACGGCGCCGGCGCGCAGACGCGGGGTTCGAGAGCAGTCGGCCGCCGGCCCGCGATGGGTGCGGTTGCGGTAGTGGCGATCGGTGTTTGGCGCTCTGGGAAGTTTAACGCAATGCGGCTTTGGTTGTGAATAAAGAACTCACGTTATAACATACAGGGTGTCCGGAAAGTCCAGGCGCTTGTTTAACATGATAATGTTAAGGCATTAGGGCATTTGTTTAACATTTAAAAAAAATGCATTTGGTTCATATGTATACACTCGAGTCAACAATAGATCAACACAATGATCAGGGACAACAAGCCACATACTTCCGCTAAGTGCTCATTCAATGTAACCACCGTCTGCGCTGACGACGGCCTCGACATGGGGGCGGGGCGGAACCGCTTGCGGGTTTTGACGATGCAGGACATTTCTAGATCCCCCGATGCTGTCGTGATGCGAGTCTTCAACGGCGCCAGGTTGGGATGAGAGGTGGCCTAGAACTAATTCCACAAAACGCGTAGCACACCTTAGTCGAGCGAGTGAAGGTAAGGAGAATAAGGCGGGCAAATCGCATTTTCCCACGGTGATTTGGCCCACCGAGCTCCTCTGCCACTTTGGCTTGTTGGAAGCGGCTAGGAGGGCGCTCCGTGCTGTGTTTAATGCAAAGTGACCCTCGCAGCAAGTCTCCTTGACCCTCGGGATGATGTGCCTGTCAATGAACCCCTCGTGGTCCAGCCTGCCATTCATTTATTTGATATTGACGAGGATGATGGGACGTTTTTGGCCATCAGAACCCCCGAAATTTCTTTGACTGCCGCTGAAGAAATGCTGCTACGTTCTCGGGAGTAGACATACAGTAATACTGGTCTGAAAATATTTTCTAAGGAATTTTCAAGTCGTAATAAACCTTAAACTTGCTGAACCATTCGTCGAAAAACGCCGCATCGCGCTGCAACTCGAACCTCGTTCAAGCTGCACCCGGCCGCCGCGCGCAGGCATTCAGCAATCAGCGGCAAGGCGCATCTTCATTCTTCATCCATCTACGCTGAACGGTCAGCGAGTGGTTTGTCTGTTGTAATTAGCTGAACGTTCAAATAATCATAGCGCGCGTTAGACGGCGTCCAAAAGATGCGTCAGGACTTTCCGGACACCCTGTTTGCGCATTTCTTGCAGGCTTTGTATGATGGACTTGTTATGATCTAGAAAAATTGAGTCTCAGAACTTTTACTTAGATATGCTTGCACTCACACTACCTATTGTCATTTCTCGTTAGGAGGTAATCCAGGCAATCGTCTATGCGGAGCCCATTTGCTATAGGTATCGTAAATGTCAAAGGCAAGCACTGCAGCTCACTAGTAAGAGATCGACGCAATAATAAATGTTTTTTTTTAATTAAATGATGCTTAACATCATAGAATTTGATGTTTAGTTTGATCTTATCAACCATCTAATCCGAGTTTTAGTATTGGTTGATACTGTTCTTAATTTAGTAGTGGTATTCGTTTTGAAATTTTAGCAGATGTCAGTTCCTGCGCAGAACAGACAAAATATGTGTGTATATTTGTGGCATATTTTGTTCATTTATGATAAAAAACTTGAATTGCCTAGCAACTTCTATTTCAGCTGCCCTTTCCTATTCTATTATTAGCATTATTGACAGTTGAAGCTGAACATTACTTACAACCTCGCAAGGCCAGCCTCGTAACTTTCGTTACTTATCGCACCATCATGAGGGGGGATACTGGAGGAGAATATATCTAAGTATTCAAACAAATGCATGTGTGAGGCAAGATTACTTTACTGCTCTACTACTACTTAACTTTACTTTACTTTAGATTACTACTACTTCGCAGGTGTGAGGTGGGTGTAAGGTTTTACCTATGTAGCCTTGGTCTTACCTATGAACTGAAGTGGATGGGTATGTCAACCTCTCCAACATTTTAATGTTTTGGCTAAAATACAAAGGCATTTGATTATTTTCTGTTTTATGTACTATGTAGTTCAAGTTGTGGTGGTTTTGGTTTGCTGTAGGTAGGTATTCATTTTGATTTCTTTTCACACCAAGCTAGCGTATAGTGCTGCCAAAAAGTTATTTATTGAAAAGGTTGAGGTAAGTGCTAAATTGATACCTTAAAAGCTTGAGAATGTTGAAATATAAACATGATTATTTTGAGGATATGTAACCATCAATAAAGTTGCATTGATGTTTGAACTACTAGTCGCAAGTCACTAGTCACACCCTGCTTGGTGCCTTAACCGAGCTCTTCTCACTTGCTCTTTCCCAGTGCTTATCTCCAGGCTTTTGACTTTGGGTTTTCCACAAAGTGCCATCATGGAAACCACTCAAGTGTTTGTATACGGCACGCTGAAGCGTGGGGAGCCCAACCATGGCTGGATGATGAAGACTGGGCCCGGCCAGGGATGTGCAGAGTTGTTAGGCTCAGCCCGCACATGCCGTCCATTTCCCCTGCTGGTGGCTGGCCCCTACAATATACCCTACTGCTTGGACAGACCAGGAGAGGGCCACAGGATCTTTGGAGAGGTGTACAGAGTTGATGCTGACAAAATGAAGCGTCTGGACGAACTGGAAGCATACCCAAAGCACTATAACAGGTGAGAGTACACCGGACACCCATGCTTGGTGCGTGGATGTGCTAGTATTTGATGGTCATTTCTTGCCAGTCACTAGTGGTCTGCTGAGGTCCTACAGGTTGCTCCTATTTACTCTGGTACAGTTTATTTAGAAAACAGTAGCCCAATATGCCATTAGAACTTAGAAGTGACTGTCTTGCGTGGAACGCCACCGTGCTTTCAGCCACAGCTTTCAGCAATCAGCAGTGCAGTGTAGTGGCTGCCCGAGTTTCAGCAGCATAGATGGCGCTGCCGTCGCATCTGCTAGAGTAGTGTAGGTGGCGCTGGTGCAGTGCCAGGGACCATCGCTGTTCGTAGGTGGCTTTTACGACTGTTGTTTGGAATGCGGTGGCTTAGCTCGAATACTTGCTTAGGTTATTGATTAAATAGAGGTAAATATTTAACCACTTTGTTTTGGTGGCCTCATACTACGTCGGGGTTCGTGTAGCTCTTACCTAGGAGAAAAACACGTCATCAATATGAAACAGTGAAATATGCTGGACGGTGTTTTCTCTCTTTCATGTCTTGCTTACAAGGTAACTCATCGTTCCATCCTTTGACCTTTGTACGTCATCTGACTGCTCCTATCGCACGTTTCAGACGTCAAGAAGACGTCATTTTATCCGATGACCCGGAGGGTACCCCTGTGAAAGCCTGGATCTACCTATGGGAGAATTACACTGACGAACATTTGAGGCTGAAGCTGATCGATAATTATACCAACGACGTGTCTTCAGAGTCTTGCCGATACGTGCCCAAAGAACTGAGAGAAAAAACGGCCTGGAGCTGATGTAACTATGTCCATGTGTCGCGGTGAATCAATTCATACTGCCATTTTACATGTGATTGTAAACAGGTTGTAGGTTTTTGGAGGACATCAAATGGGTAGCTGGTGTAAAACGTTTATAAGGGAGTACGTGAGACTAGTCTTTTGAGTTACTTATCCATCGTTTTCTCTCTGTTCGGCGTTGGATCTCTCGGCAATATGCCGGTAGGGATTCGCGGCCAATCGACCAATCATCTGCGTTTTGCTTCCTCTTGCCGAGTTGTGGTAAACAGTTTTTGTGTTGCTACCTCCGCGAGACTGCGAGATGGGGATTATATAACGAAATGTGTCATAAGCAAGCACCAAGAGTGCAGCACTTGGACAACTGCGATATCCTGTTCATGCACCGAATTGGCTGGACATTGAGAATATTTTTTTGCAGCCTTATGTATTGCGAGGGTGCCTAATAACTACAAAATGGCCAGCAGTGTATTAGTTTTCATAAAACCCGTCGAAAGAAAAACTACAAATATCCAATTTATGAAATGAAATTATTATACCGATGTCAAGCATCGTTGATCGTGCGTTGTGACGCCAGCAGATGGCGTCATTGGAGGCCAGCAGATGACGTCATTGGAGGCCAGCAGCCACACCAGTGTGACCCAGCGTAACCCGCAGCTGCTTCGGGATGATGGGGGTCGAATATAGGTCGTCAGGTGGTGGGCTGCCGAGATCCGGTAGCAACCGTTTGTTCGTTCGACCGCCACCAGCCGGCGCTGTCCATTATACTCGTAGTTACCCCCCCCCCCCACCATATTTTGGAAATAGATATTTAGAGGCAATTGCCCTCGATGACTAGGTAGCTTTACCTACAGCTTTACCTATAGTGAGCGCATCGCTTTCGTAATAGGTACCTTTGACGACTATGCAAATTCACCCCGCGTTCGATGTCTCTCGGACGGCAAAGATTCTACGCCGTCCGGCCAATCACGTTCCGTAACCGCAGCCGAGCCCCCGCTGACCTTGAACGGGATTGGCCGGTCGACCTAGAATCTTCGTCGTCCGAGAGACAGCGAACGCGGGGTTAGATGCAGCTTGTTTGAGTCAGAAGGAGTCTTGAAATCGCCCCCTCAATAAGCAGTAAACGGCGTTCGAAAGTATGCCAATTTTTTCGTTCATTTCAACCCGCGGCTCCGTTGGGCTATTCCCGAACCCTGCTACCCGGTGGGGGTCTCGTCCCCCCTTCTTCCTAGGATCTCGGAAAGTTGCCGACCGATATTCAAAATTCAAACGGGGTTCGATACCCCACCGGGAACTACCAAAGGACTAACATGACAATGACAAAATCAATTGGATAAGAATTTATTCGACAGCCATTAGTTTTTTCCAGATAAATCAGGGCGATAATGATGCATTTGTTTAGCGAGAAAGGGGGGGGGGAATAAGAAACAGGCTTACCAAAATTCGCCGCGACGTGCCTGCTGCTCCAGGTTTTGACTTGTTGTTTCGAAAGGGCTTCTACCTTACAAGAACATTGAAAAAATATATAATATCATTGGTTGGTAGAAAAGCGTTGGGGCCTCTTATCAACCTTACTGACTCTGACCGACCATACATGGATCTCCCCTACTTTTTATTTTTGCCAAACATAGTTTTTCCGACTGTGGAGACCAGGGCTGCGGAGTCGGAGTCGGAGTCGGAGTCGGAGTCGGTCGGAGTCGACAGTTGTGACCGGAGTCGGAGTCGGAGTCGATATTGGAAACCCCAGCCGGAGTCGGAGTCGGAGTCACCGAAAATCTGTCGACTCCGCAGCCCTGCCAGGTGTGCGGAGTCGGAGTCGGGAGTTGGAGTCGATCGGAGTCGACATTTCTGCCCGGAGTCGGAGTCGGAGTCGGAGTTGGTTTTTGAAAGCCGGAGTCGGAGTCGGAGTCGGAGTCGCCGTAAATCCATCGACTCCGCAGCCCTGGTGGAGACCTTTATTTGTGTTCAAAAACCGCGTAACAACCACGGAGTGCTCACTTAGGACCGACTAATGCAGCACAGATATAAACAAATGACAAGTCGAACAGCGTGAAATACGTGCAGATCGGGGAGCCGTAGCCACAGCAGCTGTGTGTGTGTGTGGGGGGGGGGGTTGCTCGGCGCCGAGCATGAGCCGCGAGTCAGTTATACACGGCTCTCGTGCTGCGCCGCCGCCGCCGCCGTTCAGTGGCGCCCAATTGTCGAGCCGATGAGAAACGAGAAGGATGTCGGGGTTGTCGCCAAGAGATCACAGGTTGCGCGGCTCGGACAAACAGTTTGGTCTCGGGCCCAGCAGTTGGGAGGCGCGGCCGTCACCCACAGGAGGCCAGTCAGCACACGGACATTGTTCACACTGGTGACATATTTAGCGGGCCACCGGCGAGTTACACACGTCAACGCTCACATTTTATTTATTTATTTATTTATTTATTTATTCATGATATTACCCACAGGCAATGCCCATTGATAGGCGAAGTCCAGTGACGCATATAGGTATATTACCCACATATACAATATGAATACCTACAGGAAAAACACTCAATAAGAAAATGCGCAATAAATAAAAATGTGCACAAAATGAAAATATAAAATGGTAAAAGTGCGGTAAAGTAGGTATACAAAATGGACAAATATATTAAAATATATAAATACCTAGGTTAGGTACAGTCCACAGCAGAAGTAATGTGGGGTTTCAGTCATGGGTATGTTCTGCTTCTGAAGCTTAGGAACGATTAGCCAGACTACAATGAAACTTTGAATGTAGCTTATATGTATCGTCACCCTTGCAGCTGCAACTTTAGCTATTGACATCTTCTTTTCGATCACTCCGCATTAAACAATCGCCAGTCAAAGCCAACCGTTGAGATTGGTAAAACCCTACATTACTTTAGCGGTGGGCTGTACCTACAATAAAATGATGAATGCGCAATATGATTTTTTTAACTAATATATGGACTAGGGTCTCACGACCGGCAGGCAGCGAGCGCATTCCACACAAGACAGCCAGCACGGACGGCAGTCTCTGCTCCCAGCGAGTGGCCGTTACCGCGAGTGGCAGGGCACCGTCCCACCACGTAACGCCCAGTCCGGGCGCGCCGTTTGAAGCAGGTGACTCGAGAAGGAGGAGCGGTCCGTCATGAACGGCCGGCCTCACACGGGTCGATCAGGTGAGCTGCGACAATTTAACGGTCCAGTGCAAACGTCCACTTCTTCGAACGATCCTAGATAAACGTTGTGACTTGTGAGAGCCAATCACGAATTACTGCTGGTCCAAAAACCGGTCATCAGACAACGGGGCTCAGTGCCGCGACCCTGAAAACCTTACATGCCTTCCTGTCATGTTGCCAGCATCGCAACAGTGTCTTATATGAGACGCACTTGGCGGAAAGAATTGCGATCAAGTTTTAAATGCAAACATTATTATTGGTATTTCGATATTCAGGCTAGTTCAGTGTCCTGCCTCCGTTCGGTCACACAACGCAACTGACTTGGTACCTCACCACGCCTAAACAGTGCCTATGCGGAGACGGCACGTGCCCCGCACTGCCTACAGAGCGCACTGCAGACGCCGCCGGGTCGGTCACGCCGCGGTCAGCAGGGGCGCGGCACGGCAGCGCCGCCAGCGCCGGTCCGCCGCGTCTGCGCGCAGCACGCACAGCACTGCCAGGGCGCTGGACAGCACCATCGAGTAGAACACGGCCGGCCAGCCCAGGTGGAGCGCCACCGCGCCCAGCAGCGGGCCCTCCAGGAACGTGCCCACGCTGCCGAACCCGTTGACGGCACCACTGGCGGCCTGCGCCGCGCGCCGCTCGTCACGCTGCCCCAGCTCGGTGGGTATGGCGGCTCCCAGCAGCGTGTCGGGCCCACCATTGAACAGGCCGGCCATTAGCAGGAGCAGGCCGTTGGTGGGAGCGCCCCAGCCGCTGGTCAGCGAAAACAGCAGCAGCGAGAGTGTTGAAGCCACGACGCTCAGCAGACAGCCGGCGAGCGCCCGGCCTGCGAACACACGATCTACCACCACCCCGATGACAGCTGAGCCCAACACTGCTCCCACGTCGAACGACAGAGATAACAGTCCGGCCGCCTGACGGCCGTAGTGCAGTTGCTGCGACAGAAACATTGGTAGCCACATGTACATCGCATAGCGAACAAGCTTAAGAAAAAACAAGCTGACGGCTACCTCGGGGATGACGGGAATTTGCCAGACGTCGCGCCATGTGAGTGTCTGAGCCGCGTCAGGAGGTGACGCCTTGGTCACTGCCGAGTCTTTCTCGTGCACGGCGACACCGAGCTCCTCAGGCGAGTACAGCACCAACAGCACTAGCAAACCAAAGGACATACACAGCAGTGCAGGGAGCAGGTGCACTAGACGCCATCCGTAGGCACCCTGCAGGTATACCGAGACAGCCGTGCCCAAGATGCCTCCTCCAAACGCCGAAGTGCCGAACAGACCAAAGACCGAGTTGCGCCGATTGTCTGGGAACCATTCGGCCAGTGATCGCGCACAGGCTGGCCAGCAGCACGACTGCGCGGCGCCGTTCAGCGCCAGCATCATGGCCATGGCGCCGGGACCGCCGCCCAAGCCGAACGGCAGCATGGCGCCGCCGGCGGCCAACAGTCCGAGGCCGAGCGTGCGCCGCGCTCCGAGCCGCTGTCCGGCCGGCGCCAGCGCCATTTGCGCCAGAGCGTAGGGCGCCAGCAGAGCGGCGTCCAGCCAGCCCAGCTGCGCCTCGTTCAGGCCCGCCTGGTCGCGTAGGTCCGCCTTGATGACCCCTAGCGGCTTCCGGAGGAAGTACGTGAGCGCGTAGCCGACCCACAGCAGGCAGAACGTGATGAACTGACGTACCTGCAGCGGAGCCATGGCGGCGGCAGCCCTCTGGCTGTGCAGGTGGGCCGTCTAGCGGCCGTAGACGGCGCTGAGGACTCCGCTCAGGACGGCGTCGGCGGCGTCTCTGGAGCGGTCGACGAACTGCCGCGGCTGAAAGGCCAGCAGCGGACGGCGGCTGGTCCCAGAGCCTTCCACTTCGATCAGACTTTTCTGTGGCTGAACACTAAGGAACTGAAGAAGAGGCAGTGGTGGTGGCTCCACCTGCAATAGCGTCTGCAAGTAGGCTTCGAGTGCCGAACGACGAAGCTCCAGCACTTTCACTGTGTTGTGGATGACTCTCTTGGTAGGAAACTCTGGTGTTTGATGTGCCGCTTTCTAAGGCGGGGCCGCCGCCGCGTCGGTGCGTCGTGCCGCCGTCCAGGCCACTGGCGGAGCGCGGCGGCCAGTGTAACGGTCAGTCGGCGACACGGGCCGGCGCGGCGGCACGGTGCCTATAACGGTCGGCCGACCGGCCACACCGGCGCGCCACCGGTGCTGGCCGCCACGGCGCCCGGCTTGTGGCGCGGCCTCCTGCCAAACATAGCTTGCGTCACTTACGCCGTCGGTGCGTCAGGTGATGAAATAGGATTTAGAGTGGGGGGGGGGGCGGATATCCGCCCCCCGTCGGTGCACGGGTTAAGATGACGTCATAGTTACGTCATAAACTTTTGTCGTTTTCCGATATGGACTGTTTCTGATGTCGCTGAGCATGAAACTCGACTGTAAATGAACCAGACAGCACATGCTGTCATCCTAAAACATCTAAGTAGACTTCCAACTAGTTCCTGACCAATAATCTATGCTTTATATTCGGTCTTGTATATCGGATACGAGTAGGTATACCTATCGTGAGGAAACTGAGGGTCGCAAATCTATAATTTGACTTTTGACGTCACTGTGACGTCATTTCAAATCGGATTGACACCAAATTTGGACACAACCTCGGCTAGGTATTCAGGAAGATGTGCGCATAGTTTCGCTTCTCTATCTCTTCGCGTTGCGACGATATCGTCGCAGAAGTAAAGGGGGCAACTATATGCCCCCCAGCGGCCGGTGGATGGCGCGGAGGCCCAGCGGCCGCCGGGTTAATTAAGGTGGCGACTGATTCATGCGATCGATCTGTGAATATGGCTATGAGCTATGATTTTTCGACGAATGCGAATGTTTGAGCTTACGGCGGAATTTCTTCTGTTAATTAGGTACATAATTGAGAGTAGTGTTTTGATGTCGACGAATTGACACTATGCGTCTTTAGATGGTCCTGGTACTTTGCGTCATTGTAGTTGCGAAATGTCCAGTAATAGCTAGATTATAATCGTTTGTGGTTAGATGCGTCTTTAGATGGTCCTGGTACCTACTTTGCGTCATTGAAGTTGCGAAATGTCCAGTAATAGCTATATGTAGAATCGTTTGTAGTTAGAACTATATAATTTGCGATATATAACCCGCCCCCCCTCGCCGGCCGTGGGGGGGGGGGCGGGTGCCCCCCTAGGGTTTTTTCGTGATAGCTCCGAACACGCTGGCGATAGAGAGCTGAAACTTGGCATACCTGACCTTTGATTCAAGCCGCATCTTTTGACACCAACCGCATTTTTGGGTTAGGTCAGGTCACTGACCTATGACGTCATAAGTGAACCTCTGCACGGTCTTCAGGTGTCGCAACTTCGCAACGCCCTCACTGCCAGAGGAGATGTCACAGGGAAATGAAACTTGCAGGATCTAGTATCGATTATGAGTGTCACAACTTGTATATCTCGGATTTTTCCTAAAGGTCATATGAGGTCAGGTCATTTTCGTGACCTCACCATTGTAAGTCAATGGGGAAAAATGAAAACTGCTATTCTGGCGCCAGGAACGATCTCCAACTATCTCAAGCACACAGAATCGTGATTTGATGCACTCCTTGGAAGGTTAGATGCGTCACGTTTGCAATGTTGACCCTGCGTGACGTCATTTATGACGTCATCAAGGTCATATTAGTTTTTCATCAATAACTCTTGATCAAATTGAGCTAGCGAGTCGGGAAAGCCACCAATGGACTCAGGAAGACCTGCCGAATCGAATGATATGCGACATGACCTCTTTCGACCAGCTTCGTGACCTGGGGGTGCTGACCTGACCTTGACCTGAGGTCAACACCCCAAGTTGACCTGACCCGGACAAAAGGTATACCATTCGACGCGCCTGAGCGAGGCGAGCACGATGCTGCCAAAATCGTGGCTCTGCGGCCGTTTTTTGCGAAGTTATTCACCAAAAACTGAACCGTACCCTGGGGCACTTGACCTGACCTCAGAGGTCACCGGTTGACCTAGAACCTTAAAATCGGGTACCAATCTCTGCGTCTCGTAACGGCGCACACGCTCGTTTTTTTCGCGACGCGCTAGCTCCACCAGGGGCGAAACGGCGAGGGGGGGTCGTACCCGCCCTCCCCCCCCCCCCCAGGCCGGCGCGTATGTAGAATACCAATAGGTCCGGCGATGGTTAATATACGTATCGTGGTGCTTTTGTAGAATAGATACTGGAAAAGGAAAAGACCATATCTGTTGGAAAATGATAAAAGGCGATAGGAATTTTGTTTTCAAACTCACGCTGAACGAAGCTGATGAAATGCCGAACAGGGAAATATTGCAGCGATATTTTACCAGATTTGCACTCACCGACGCGTCTGGTGAATCTACCCGGCCAGAAGAGACAACACGCACCAGTACTGCACCGCGAGTGGTGACGCGCCCATAGCGGCGTGACCTTGACTGGCGGTGTTGACGCGGATTCCAGGACAAAAAGTCAAAAGACAAAATGTCAAAAGACAAAAAGTCAAATGCAAAAAGTCAAAATGGATAAAAGTCAAATGGAAAAAAGTCAAATGGATAAAAGTCAAAACGGATAAAAGTCAAAAGACAAAAAGTCAAATGGCGAAAAATCAAAACGTCCAAAAGTCAAAAATGCAAAAAGTCAAATGGCAAAAAGTCAAAATGGCGGAAAGTCAAAAACGCAAAAAGTCAAAAGCAAAAAGTCAAATGGCGAAAAGTCAAAATGGCAAAAAGTCAAAAACGCAAAAAGTCAAAAGCAAAAAGTCAAATTGCAAAAAGTCAAAATGGCGAAAAGTCAAAAACGAAAAAAGTCAAAAGCAAAAAAGTCAAATGGCGAAAAGTCAAAAACGCAAAAAGTCAAAAGCAAAAAGTCAAATGGCAAAAAGTCAAAAAATGCGAAAAGTCAAAAGACAAAAAGTGAAAAACGGCAAAAAAAGTCAAAATGATAAAAATCAAATGGAAAAAGTCAAATAAGAAAAAGTCAAAAGTAAAAAGTCATTTATCTAAGAAACCATCAGACAAAAAGTCAAATAATTTCTATAAACCCAGCGCGTTGGATGCTGGACCAGTCAGCGATGACGGTACAGAGACCAGAGAGCGTGAGTGCAGACGGAGGGGACCGCGTCCAGTCTATCGGGCACGTTTAAACTTTCAGATAAAACTTTGCCATAGCACTGGAATTGCACGATGGGGCAGTGGTGACCCGGGAACGTTTGAAAAGTTGATGGGGTAAGTTGAAAGTTGAGGGGACAAAAATTGCAACTCAAAATTTTGAAATTATCTCGTCTTTTGTATTTTTTACTTTAAGTCCATTGACGTCATCTAAGCGTTAAAGGAAACAGTTCACTTTCCTGAAATTAGTATTTTGCTATTGATTTATGATTTTTTATGCTCAAAATGATCATGAAAGAAAGTAAAACCTTTTTGTAAAAACAATTATTTTCTATATTTTAATATAGGACCAACTATATTCTATGTAAAATAATGTTTGAGGCGGAAGCTTATTACGCGTTGACCAATCATATCGCGTAATTCAAACCTACGCACACTGCATTGGCTGTAAGCAGCATGCTGATTGGCTGACGATGACGTGGCTGCATTCCTGTGCAAGGCACGCATTCCTCTGCAAGGCACTCTTTTCGGAACGAGAAATGGAATATCTCCGTCTAGGGTGATCGTTGAGCCGTAAAAGCTCCTGATTTGTGCTAGTCTCAGCTCAAGCTACGAAACTGCTATTCCAGTTCAAAACCCCTATTTCCTTTCCTGAACTATTTCCTTTAACCACATGGTATTTTTTTATTTTGAGGTTTTGGCTTTTCACCAGGGCCTCCTCTCAGTGGCGACACTTTCCGAAAATTATTGGTAGGGCTCTAATGTAAATGTTTGCCAATTCAAAGCGATTCTTTCCACGCAACGTCATAGGCATAATGTTAAATTTCCAAAAATATTGGTAGGGCTCGGGCCCTACCATGCCTAGGTATACAAAACGACACCCATGCCTCCTCTAACATGTTAACTGCGGGAGCTGCAGCCTGCAGCCCCCGCAGTCATCCTCCAAACTGGTCACTGAGGAGTACCTTAGTCATTTTTTAGTCTTAGACGTTTTTGGTAGGGGTTACCTTAGTCATTGCCCGTGATCGGGCCCCCCAGTCAAAACTGCTTAGAGGAGGCACTGCTTTTCACCCTCTCCCATGGGGGAGGGGCTGCCGCCGCCCGGTGCTCCGCGCACCACGGACGCCACGCGGGCGCTGCTGGCGCGGCGGCGCGCACTGCTCGGCCCGCGCGCCGAGTATACCAGGGTATATGGAGTATACGGTGGTCAACCGGCAGTGTCGAGCGGCCATCAGACGTGACCACGCGGCATACTATGCTGACCAGCTGCGTGAGGCAGGACCGGCGAGGATGTGGACAGTGCTGCGACCGGTGATCGGGGCGGGGAAGAGTGCCACTGCTGCTGCGCCAGCGTGCACGCCGGAAGCGCTCAACGCGTATTATGTGAGCGTGGGCCCCACCACCGCAGCCAGCGTCCCTGCCCCGCTGCTGCGGACCCCGGTACCAGTCAGAATCCCTCGCGTACTCACATGTTCCTTACAACTTCAGTGGGTAGGGTACGTTGCGCTGTATAATATTTTTTCAAAAGATGACAAGATCGATGCTTCCACTTTTATCCTTTTGACTTTTTATTTCAGACTTTGACTTCGACTTTTCTATTTTATACTTTTTTCATTTTTTTACTTTTTGTCTTTTGACTTTAACCCGTTTTGACTTTTTGCTTTTGACTTTTTGTCTTTTGACTTTATTCCGTTTTGACTTTTTTGTCTTTTGACTTTTACTCGTTTTGACTTTTTGTCTTTTGACTTTTTTCCGTTTTGACTTTTATCCTTTTGACTTTTTGCATTTTTGACTTTTTGTCTTTTGACTTTTTTCCGTTTTGACTTTTATCCGTTTTGACTTTTTCATTTTTGACTTTTTGCATTTTTGACTTTTTGTCATTTGACTTTTTGCGTTTTTGACTTTTGCACATTTTGACTTTTTGCTTTTGACTTTTTGTCTTTTGACTTTTATCCGTTTTGACTTTTATCTTTTTGACTTTTATCCCGTTTGACTTT